GAGATTTTTTTTTTTCTTTCTCCAATTGGACGGGTGTTTTGAAAGTCTCGTCTTTCCAGCCCCAAACAAGGTGTAACAACGCACTCTTCCTTCTAAGGAATGAGATGAGAGACAAGGATCACTCCAGACATCTCCTACCTACGGTTTGGGGTGGGTTTTTTTTCTTTCTTTCTTTTTTTTTTTTTTTTTCTTAAAGGCGAGGCTCGCATTCCTCAGCAGCTATGTACCAGCTCCCTGAAACCTCCTCGCCCTAAAGTTAGCGAGCAGGGTTTCCCGAAGGCTCGCTCGGCGCGCCCGAGACCCGGGAAGGCACTTCCCCCCCAGGTGGCCGGGCGCTCCCGTCACCTCTCCTCCTCTTCCCGCCGGCGAGCGCCGACTTTTTATCAGTTTGCACAATCGCTTAGATAAACACCGAGGAAGAGAGAGAGTCTCTTTAATTATCCAAGACACATCATTTCAGGGGTCCAACAAAGCGCGTATTGCACCCGCCAAACTAAAGGACAGTTCTTCCAGTTTTAGGAGGAAGATGCAAGCGATTTGGGATCTTGAGCAAGGCAAATACGGTTTTGGTATGTTTGCTTACAGTATTTTTTCCCCCCTCTCTCTCTTTCTCTCTCTCTCTCTCTCCCCCTCTTTCTTTCTGCTTTCTCACTTTTCTCCCGGTGCCGTGTGGGGTTGGGGATGACTTGGGGATTTTTTTTCAAAAAATCGTATTGCTAACGTGTATGCAATGCCTCGGGTTGTGGTTTAAGGGGTTCGGGGAAGGGGGGGACGGTCCATTCAATGCGTTGCCATATTTTATTACATGTGTGTGGTGGAGGGGGGCGAGGGGGGAAATCCGATTGCGAAGGTGCCAAAATATGATTAAACCGAAGGGGACAGACAGACCGCCGGGCCGCCCCTCGCCGCCTCCTCGCGTCCGCTCCAACCCAGCGCCTCCTCCGGGAGCGCAAACTGCAACGCGGTCCTCCGAGCTGTTTTTCCAGGCAGGAGATGACTCGCTTTGCCAGCTCAGGAGCTGCTAGGCTCGCCCCGGAGGATCAGCATGTCCTGGTGGATCGGCCGCTGAGCTACATTTTTGCAACCTTGTGCAACTGACAGCCGGCCGGGCGCGCGGGGAGGGAGGCGAGCTCGCCGGGCGCCTGGGCCGCGGCTCGGGGGGGACGCGGCGTGGGCGAAGCGAGGGGGACAATCGCGCCGAAGAGGGGTACTCACCATCCGGCCGGCGGGCGGGTGCAGCTGGCGTGCGGGTTGCAGGGAAACGTGGACCTTTTTGCCGTGTGCGGCCACCGCGGCGGGCTGACTTAAGAAGCCGTTCTGGGCTGTGTCCAGCACGATCCAGGCACGGGGTCCTCATTTTTAAAAAAGCCAGCGAGAGAGACGGCAGAGACAGAGAAAGGAAAAGAGAGGAGGGGGTGAGAGGGACTCACAGAAACCCGGTTCAGGGGGGAGGGAGAAAAAAATCATCACCTCGCCGCCAGTGACACGGGAGACGCAGGAGGTGGCGAGATGAGGGTCCGGTCCAACCCAGCCAGAGCCAATTAATTTTCAATCCCGGGCAATGATTCCGCGGAAAAGGCCCAGAAGTTTCATTCCCCTGCGCCTCCGCGAGCCTCAAGTCGTTCCCCTTTAAGAACCCCTTTTCTCTTAAAGTTGGATTTTAGGCAGCGAGGACTCTTACACTAGGGGGCAGACAGATACTGCTGCACTTGCTGCAGTCTCCAGCAATTCTTTCCCTCCCGGCATATGCTCCGATTGAGCACTGTAAATTTTTCAGGGGTACCCAACTCTGACAGCCCCTGGTGATTTTCAAAGTACCACAAGCCAGCGGTTAAAAATTGCATTGACTTGGAAGTTGAGAGGCACACAATAGAGGCCCCTTCTCCTATTCAGGGAGCTGCCGTGTGCTGGAAGGGAAAACACACAGAAGGAGATTGAAGGGAAGGAGCAATTCAATGCATCGTGGTGGACAGGGCTGGCTGCTACCGAGTTCAGAGTTAAACTCGGCGTTTGCTGGGGTCTGTATGCATCTGGTGACCGAATCTGTGGTCAGGCCGCCTTCTGTAATGGAATCATATTCCTGGGTTGGGGTTCCCTTTGCTTGGCTTGGGATCCCCAGAGGAAGACCAATGTTTTTCCAACTTTCTCCCGGCCAAATGAAAGCTTGCCATTCCTCTCATTAAAATAAATTTACATCTGCAATAAAAGACTGGGCTGGATTTATTTTATTTTTTTCCAATGGTAACAATATATTGATGTTTAGCGGTTAGTCTTAGAGCTGTTGTATTTCAGAGAAATGAGCATCTCTAAGTAAGACATTTTTAATTATTTCTCTTTTTTTTTCTTCTCGGTCTGCAGTCCTTTCATACAGTAAAAATAACTGCAATTAGTACTTTTTTTTTTTGGCTTTTTAATTGCATCTGCATAGCTATGAATGGGTCCCAAAATACAAAGTAAAAACACTTCTGACTTCCTGGTAGCCCCTGAGGTCCTGAGCCTGGCAGGCTCCAGTTCTGTTGGGGACGGTGGGGAAATCTTCATTTTTAATCTCAGGCCATCAAACTGGACTTCAAACACCCAGTTTCTCTAACTGAACTGGGGAAGCCCGTCCCCCTCAGAATTCCCCCCACCTGCATGTGTGTAAAAGGTGGCTCTTGCTGTGGAAGTGTCTGTACAAGAGGCGAGATTAAGATTTCCCCATCATCAGTTTTTCTATCATCTATTAAACTGAGATGGATGAATGCCCATCAGACGTCCTAGTCAACCCCAGTCCCACCACAACTCTACTGCGTTTGCCCCAGATCCACTGACATTTGCAGCATAGGGCAATTTCTCAAATCACAGAGATTGAAAGGGGGAAAATATTTCCCTGGAATAATTCCTCTCCCATGCTCCTTGTCCCCCTCAGGAGAAAGTTACATGGTGCCTGTCATCAACCTGAAATTCGCAGCCTGCCTTGACTCTGTGGCAAGGTTTAGGAGAACTCTCTGTCCACTATAGGTTTGTGTTTGGTTTGGTTTTTTACAACTTTCAAGTCATCCCAGCACCTGCATCAAACATCGAGAATTGCCCCCCACCTTCCAGAACATTCACTGTTTCCTGAACTATGTGATTTCAGCCGGGAAAGGGTGAGAGCTAAGAGGTTTCAGAAATGAAGCGGAAAGAGGATATTTTTTTTTCTTCCCTTAAAACTAGCCCCTATCTGCCTCCATCTCTACTCAGCCCCTACCCTGTATTCTGCCTGTGTGTGCAAAGGGTATGGAATGCAAAATGCAATCTACACATGTCAGTTTCACGTGTGGCGAATTCTTCTAAACAATTCTTCATCTTTTTAATTTTTTTTAATTATCAAGGATGCTTTCTGGTGGTCGTCCCTTACTATTTCTGTGTGTCCACGTTTCCGGCAGCTCGGCGTGTTTCGTGCGAAATATTTTAATTGTTCATAAACCTGGTGGGCTGACCAATGTACAGCTTTTTTCCTGGTGCAAAGTGTATATGACGGAGTCACCATTTTCTTTCATAAATACGGAGTAACCATAATCCACTAACTTTTTCTAATCACACAGAGAGGTGCATTGGGATAGTGTGTGTTCTGGGAGGTGGGGGGGCCATTCTAGATGTTTGATGTTTAACCCAACGCCCTGGAATTTAGAGACACAGTCCTGTGATTTTAGCCCATGGAGCAGAATGGGAGAGACTGTGACGTTGGCCTTATTGCAGTCGATTTCTCGGGATAGAGTATGGCTGGTGTGTGGTTCTTGAGTTGTACTGGTCTTGTCCCCAATATGGGGCAGAGTCTCTGGGTGTGTTTTAATGGCTATATGAATGCTTTTAAGGAAACTTAAGGAACAATAAAGTCCGCACTTATCTGTTCCACGACCTAGAAGTGCAAGTGGCTGAAGTCTTTGTCTGTGTACATTGACAAATGTGCATCTCATACATGTACACTTACATGTGTGTGCAGAGGCCACACACAGGGGAGGCTGGAGGCGGCCTCTGCTTGCCCATCAGCGGGCAAACATCGGTCTTTTCCCCTCTCGCCCTGACTGGGTGTGGGGCAGGATGTTGGCTTGCGAGTTCGTCAAAACTAAGGAGAGAGGATAAAGTTGAGGGACATTTATTTTAATTGCGTCATGACAATGAGATGAAGTCTATTTCTGCTTCTCCGCATCCGAGATGCTTTATTTGAGCAATTAAAATGTCAGGCCACATACCTGTGAAATGTTAACCCTACAAGGAAAAGACAGACTCTAAAGAGCTTTTTTCCCCTCTTTAAAAAAAAAGGGGGGGAAAAAAAAGCCATCAAACCAAGCAAGTGATCGGAGTTGGTTAAGAGAGGGGTCTCCCGCCACCCGGGTTTGACCAAATCTTTCGTTTGGAAATTGCCCGCGAGCTGGGCACGCGGCGCCTTCCCACCCCCACCCACTACCCCTCTGCGAAGAATCGGGGGACTTCTCTCTCTCTCTCGGGCATCGCGGGCGCACAGATGCGCCGGGAGTCCCGGGTGGTGCGCGCGCGGCGCCTTTCGTGGCCTCGCCAAGTTGCCAAGAGGCGAAGTCCTCGATCCCATCCCCAGCCGCTCGCGGAGCCTTTAAGAGGCGTTTTGTCTGCGCGCCGCGCTCCGCTCCGCGCTGGGGCGGAAACCTCGGGTGCGGGGCGCGCGATGCGGGGGTGCGCGGGGGGCCGCGCGCCCGGGCCCATCCCCCCCCCCCGCCAGGCGGCGGCGGCGGCGGCGGGGACGTGGCCGCCCCCACCCGGGCCCCCCGCTTCCCCCCGCGCGCCCCGAGCCGCGGGCCGCGACGCCGCTCGCGCTAGGACCGAGCTGAGCCCGCGGCCGCCATGGCGGGGCCGCCGCGCTCCGGCCAATGACGGCGAGGGGGCGGCGCGCGCGCGCCGGGCCAGGCCAACCCCGGCGGCTGCCTTATAAGGCGCGCCGTCGCCATGGCAACGTGCGCTAAGTTGCAGCAGTCGTGTCAAAGTTCACTATATAGAGAGCTCAGTGAGCTGATCGCGGAGAAGCCACTTCTGCCAGCCCCGGCGCCTATAAATCGCATTCCCTCCCGCGCCCCCCTTTTTAGCATATTTGATCACTTTGATTCTCTGTTCTTTTCTCTCCGCGGTGTGTGTGCGTGCGCGCGTGTGTGTGTTTCCTCTCCGCCTCCTCCTCTCCCCGAGTTGCCTTTCTCCGGGTGCCGTGCTGGCTTTTTTTCCCTCTTTCATTCTTTCTCTCCGTCTTTTTTCCTCCCCGCGCTGCGCACGAAGGATGTGCTTCTAGGTGGTGATCTGCCCTCCTCTCTCTCTCTTATCCTTTCTCCCCCGCCGCCGGCGAGTTGACTCTTTCCCTATGTGTGTGAGGCGGCGGCGGCAGCAGCAGCAGCGGCTCCGGCGGTGGCAGCAGCGGCAGCAGCGGCTTCAGCGGCGGCGGCGGCGCTAGACGCGGCGGCTCCGGGCCCGACCCCGCGGCTTCGGCGGCGGCTCCGGCGGCGGCGGCGGCCCGGGCGGCCCGCAGGGATCGGCGAGCGGCCTCCATCCGGCGCGAGCGGGCGGCGGCGGCCGGAGCGAGCCGGGCGCCCGGGGCAGGCGGCGGCGGCGGCGGCGGCCCAGCGCCAGGACGACGCCGCGCAGCGCCCGACGCGGACCACTTTCATGCTGATTCCCCCGGACCCGGGCAGCGCTCCGGCCACTCCGCGGGCCGCCGGCCTCCGCCCCGGCCTGCCCGGCCCTCTGGGCGCCCCTGCGACCGGCGCCTCCGCGCTCCTAGTCCTCCCGATTTCGATGGCTTTCCTGAATGGCTGACTGTGGGCTGCCCTGGACTTGGCCCCCGGACAGTCGACTCTCCTCCTTCTCTTCCTCCTCCTCTACCTCCTCCTCCAACTCCTAGGCACACCGGCTCTGAGCGCGAGAGAGGGAGGGAGAGCGAGCGAGCGAGATCTTTGGAGAGATTTTTTTTTTTTTTTTTTGCCTCCTACTTCTCTCTTGAAGCCAGACAATCGACTTGCAGCTCTCCCTCCCCTCCCTCTCTCCACGTTCTGCTCCCACTCCCTCTCCCCGGCCCTTCCCCTCCCCTCCTGGAGGAAAGCCCCCCGAAAGCAACAAAGCTGAGCCGAGGGACACAAACAAAACAAACACACCGGGCCAGACCAGCCACCGCCAAAACTTTGCAAAAGCAGAAACAAAAAAGGAAAAACTAACCAACCTCAACCAACCAGCCCCCCGAGCCACCCGGGGCGCCCTCCCGCGCCCTCGCGCACACAAAAGGCGGCGCACCGGAGCCCGCGACCCCGGGAGCCGCCGCCGCCCGCAGCCAGGGGAGCAGGAAGCCCGGACGCGGCCCCCATAGATATGGCAATGGTAGTCAGCACGTGGCGCGACCCCCAGGACGAGGTGCCCGGCTCGCAGGGCAGCCAGGCCTCGCAGGCGCCGCCCGTGCCCGGCCCGCCACCCGGCGCCCCGCACACGCCGCAGACGCCCGGCCAGGGGGGCCCGGCCAGCACCCCGGCCCAGACGGCGGGCGGCGGCCAGGGGGGCGCCGGCGACAAGCAGCAGCAGCAGCAGCACATCGAGTGCGTGGTGTGCGGGGACAAGTCGAGCGGCAAGCACTACGGCCAGTTCACGTGCGAGGGCTGCAAGAGCTTCTTCAAACGCAGCGTGCGGAGGAACCTCAGCTACACGTGCCGCGCCAACCGGAACTGTCCCATCGACCAGCACCACCGCAACCAGTGCCAGTACTGTCGCCTCAAAAAGTGCCTCAAAGTGGGCATGAGACGGGAAGGTATCGGCCTCTCATTTCTCCCCCCCCCCCTCGCCCGCCCCGGGGTTGGGGCCCTGGGTGCGTGTGGCTAGCCTGCTCGGGGTCAGGATCCGGAGCCCCGGGCTCTGCCTGGCCGTGGGCGGCTCCAAGGGGGTTGCTGCTAGAAGCCAAGTTCGGCACCGGATCCCTGACCCCCCAGATCCGCATGCTGTGGCCGCCTGATCTGCTCGCTCTCTCCTCTGGGCCGGTTTCCTGTTCTTTGCGTGGATTGCGAGTTCCTTCGAGTCGCCTTTCTGCAAGGGATGGGGTGGTGGTGGCTGATGGTTGTTGTTTTCAAGCCTTTACTTCTCCCTCTCCCTCCTCTCAGATTCTCTCTCTCTCCCCCGGTTTTTCCTGCATGTTCAACACATGTCCCTCCTCCCCCCTCTCCCCAGCCCCCACCCTCTAAAAAAAAACCCAACCTGAGATTGTACTTTTGTACAGGAGGTTCAAATTACAAATGGCAATTTTATGCACTTCGCCGTATTAACGCTGCCGCCCGGGCTGAGCTCATGTGACCCTCCGTGGATTAACATTCTGCTAAAAAAAAAAAAAATCCCTCCGTTTTCTTTTTTCCTTTCACTTTTGAAAGGAGGACAGCGCGATCGGCAGGGAAGGAAGGGTGGGCGAGGGCCCGCGGCGACCGCTTTCGCTCCGCGCGAGTTGGGTCTTTGTGATAGCAAATTCGCCGAGCACCGCGAGCCAGGCTCGGCCAATGGCGCGCTGGGCTCCGGGCTGGGGCGAGCGGTCGCCGGCGTTTCTTTGTGTTTCTGGGGAGCGGATCTCCCCGTCCGGCGACCGATCACAGCCCCGGCCCGAGCCTCGCCGGCTCTCCCCGGCCCTCCCCGGCCCTCCGCGGGCTGCGCCGGCCGCTTCCTCCCCGCCTGTCCCCGGCTTCCTCTCGCCGCCGCCGGCCTCTCTCTCCGCCCTCTCCCTCTCCCTCCTTTCTCCGAGCACACTGATCAGGCTGCCGGCAGACCTCGGCTCTCGGCTCGTGTCTCCTCGGGAGTCCCCCTCCGGGCTGGGGCCGGGGCCGGCAGGGCCGGAGCCGGGGCTGGGGCTTGGGGTTTGGGGGAGTCATCCCGGGGCGGCCACAGGCCGTCTGGGGTGAACCCTTGTGTCTTTTGCAAAAGCGGCTCTCCTTCCCCAGCCCATCCCAGACTCGCCCCTCCCGCTCCCTCTCCTCCAATCAATAAGAAATATCAGCTGTTTAGCAATAAAGAAGAAAGATGCCCCCAGAACGCTGCTTCCCGCCCACCGCGCCGGGACCCCGAGGCGAAGTGGCCAATTCCGGGTGCTCCGCGGCCCAGCTCCGGGCGGGCCTGGGAGGCTCGGTGCCTGGTGGCCACCAGCGCCGGCCTGGGAGGGGATGGCAGGGGGAGCTGCGGCTCCGGCGGCTCCCGGGCGCACGGGCTGGAGGGGCAGGCCTGCCGGGTCTTGTTCTGGGGCAGGTGGGGGTCGGGCTGGGGCAGGCCCTGCGAGGGGCGCCGGGGGGGCCCCAGGCCACGCATTAACCAGACACTGTCTTCTGTCCCCCCACAGCGGTCCAGAGGGGCAGGATGCCGCCCACCCAGCCGACCCACGGGCAGTTCGCGCTGACCAACGGGGACCCCCTCAACTGCCACTCCTACCTGTCGGGATATATCTCTCTGTTGCTGCGCGCGGAGCCCTACCCCACGTCGCGCTTCGGCAGCCAGTGCATGCAGCCCAACAACATCATGGGCATCGAGAACATTTGCGAACTGGCGGCCCGGATGCTCTTCAGCGCCGTCGAGTGGGCCCGGAACATCCCCTTCTTCCCCGACCTGCAGATCACCGACCAGGTGGCCCTGCTTCGCCTCACCTGGAGCGAGCTCTTCGTGCTCAACGCGGCCCAGTGCTCCATGCCCCTCCACGTCGCCCCGCTCCTGGCCGCCGCCGGCCTCCACGCCTCGCCCATGTCCGCCGACCGGGTGGTCGCCTTTATGGACCACATACGCATCTTCCAGGAGCAAGTGGAGAAGCTCAAGGCCCTGCACGTGGACTCCGCCGAGTACAGCTGCCTCAAGGCCATAGTCCTGTTCACCTCAGGTAGGAAGGGGCCTGGCCTGCTCTCGCCCGAGGGCTCTAGCCCGGAGTTAGGGACCAGCCTCCCCCTGGAAAGGCCAGACTGTTGGGTGCTACTTGGATGAGAACTTGGAGTAGCTGCTGGGCCCCCGCAGGCCTGTGTGGGAAGGAGAGGAAGGCTGGGCTGCAGCAGGCAGGATGCTGCAGACACAGACTCTCAAATGGGCCAAGGGGAGGCCTCCGGGGCCTGCTGCCCTCCTGCCAGGCTGGGGTGTGAGCTTCTGCCACACACACACACACACACACACACACACACACACAGCCTTAGCCCAGGCCCCCTGGGCCAGCTGAGCCTGTGGGGTCTTGTCAACCCCAGCGGTTCTCTCTGTCACCCTGGCTTCGCCTCCCTGAGATGCCCCTGGGCCTGGGGGCGGTCCTGGCATCCGTTCGCAGGGGAAAGTTTGCCTGTTAACTCCATAGGAGTTGGAGCTCCAGGCAGAGCCAACTGGAGGGCACCAATTTCGAAAACCAGATTCTTAGGAAGACAATGCAGAGGGCCAGGGGAGGGGAGCGAGCCGCCAGGCAGGGGCAGGAGGGAGAAAGGGGCCATCATAACTCTTCAGAGTGTCTGCCGGGGCCTGGGGAGTCCGGCCTCTTGCTCCCCCCTGGCCAGGCAAACACTTCAGGCAATTTCCAAACAACTCCAAGTGTCTGCCAACCTGGGCTGCCAGCGTATGAATGTTGCTGGCGATATAAAACCATCACCGACTGCGTGATGAAATCTAATTAGTTTGCATGTAGTTTAACCTGTGTGAGCAATAGATCTCATATTAATTAACTCTTGAGGCCAAATGATTTTTGCAAGTGCCTGGCTTTGCACTGTGGGCCACACCTGAGCCTTCTGGCCCCTCCACCTTCTTGTGCTAAGTTGTCAGCTGATCCCTTTGTCAAGGCCGAGGCGGGGAAGCGGTTCCCAATGGAGCACACCCACCACTTGGACGTGGGTTTGGGGCTGGGATCCTAGTCCCCACTGTGAGTTCAGCTCCAATCGGGACAGGAGAGAGCTTTGTGGCTAGCGTGGTGGACAAAAAGACCCACAGCCCCTTCCTCATTGTGGGAAGGAAAGCTGGGGACCCAATCTATGGCAGGTTCTGAGTCTTTCCTATATCGCTGCTGTTTTCATAAAACCCCCTCACTGCCTTCAAAAGTCCTGAGGTGATCAATTAAAGGGCAGTGTCCGGGCAAGGGATGGCTATGTCAGAGGCTCGAATCTGGAGTCTTCTCCCTCGGGGAGACCTGTCAGAACTGGACCACTGGACCGTTTGCCTGATGCAAACCTAGCCTGCTGATGGCCTCCTGCCCCGCAGCCTCCTTCAGCCAGTCCCTGGACCCCACACCCAACCACATTCCCAGCCCGTGGGGGTGGCTGTGAATCGCTTGCCATCATTGTTAGTCTCAGCCTTCCCCCTGGGTCTTTCAAGGAGAGAAATGCCTGATACTGTCCTAACAGTTTAATTTATTACTATTTGCAAAAGGCCCAGGCCTGTGTGGGGGGCGCACATCACCCCACCAAGAGATAAAGGTCCCTGTTATCTGAGTCTCGGGGAGACCACAGGTGCGGGTGCTCAGAGAAGAGTCTTCTGCAAACAGATCTTTTCATGCCTGACCACAGGCACCCACCCCGGGCGGGCAGAGGCGGGCAGAGTCCCGGAGACACACAGGAGCACATTGCATGTGTGTTCTGGGGCCTGGGGTGGAAGGGGCCGATTTCCAAGCCCCGCTTTAAGATGCACAATGTGTGTGTGTCAGCCCCAGTCTTGTCTGGGGAGCCCCCTGAGGTCAGGTCACAGGCTGCGCCGCCTCCACCGAGCAGCCTCTCATTTCAAAGGCACTTGTATTTTTTTACGTATCAGAAAAAGAAAAGTGTTTTCCTGAAGATATCGGGGAAGGGGGGGGGTATCTCTCTGGAGGGGCCTGAGTTGTTAAAAAAAATAACTAAAGGGGGGTAAGAGAAAAGGGGAGAGAGAAGAAAGGGGGGAAAGAAACAGCTCAAATGAACAGAGAGATCACAGTTTGCATGGCTGCCCTTCAATGGGCTAAACTGACAAGATCAGTTTTAAAGGGCCACTTAAATCAGTTTCAAAGACCGGAGAAAAATGAGTCGCCCTCTTTGGGGACAATCTCAGGCTGGGTCGTGGATGCCATTCCTCCACGCTGGGCCGGGCTGTCGCCCACCCCCCCCCCTCTATAATTATAAGCCTAACTATTATTTACAGAGGAGGAGGGGAGGAGCATGGGCACTTTTGGTTTCATCTGTTTGTCTTTCTGTTTACTGACTTGAGCCAGATTTCAGCCAGTGCACTTTGCCTGGGCCTCCCAGTGACCAAGCCTGGGGCTGGGACAGGGAAGCCTGGAGAGCTACAGAACTGGGGTTTATTTTTTACGCAGATACCCCAAGACCAGCTCCAGCTCCTGCCCCCCCCCCCAAGTTTTCGGTCCTAGGCATTTCTGAGGGAGTTGGAGGTTGGGCAGCTTGACGGAGCCATGTATACACACCTCATGTGACCCATTGCAAACCTCTTCATCCGATGACTGAATTTTCCTTTTTCCTTTTTTTTTTTTTTTTTTTTTTAACTTTCTTCCAGATGCCTGTGGTCTGTCGGATGTAGCTCACGTGGAGAGCTTGCAGGAAAAGTCCCAGTGCGCCTTGGAAGAGTATGTCAGGAGCCAGTACCCCAACCAGCCAACGCGATTCGGGAAGCTGTTGCTTCGCCTCCCTTCCCTGCGCACCGTCTCCTCCTCAGTCATAGAGCAATTGTTTTTCGTCCGTTTGGTAGGTAAAACCCCCATCGAAACCCTCATCAGGGATATGTTACTGTCCGGCAGCAGTTTTAACTGGCCGTATATGGCAATTCAATAAAAAAAAAAAAAAATCCAAGTCAGAAGGGAGAGAGAAGCAGAGAAAGCAAAGGCAAAAGACTGGTTTGTTTGCTTAATTCCTTCTGTTAAGAAAGGATATAAAAGGATGTTACACGTTTGCTAAAAAAAAAGAAGAGAGGGGAAGAACTTAATGGACTGTGAATTTCCAAAAAATTAAGAGACTGTCAAATGAACTTTTACAGAATGCATTAAAAAAAAAACCAACTCCTGTGTCGGTCAGAACAACTTGCTACTTATCATTTTTTTTTTGTATAAAAAGGAAATTAGTCTTTTTCTCTTTTTTTTGGTAAATTTTTGAAAAATATTGCTAAAAGTGCATTTAAGGAGATTGGGAGAAAATTAGCAGAATGGAGAAAGTAAGTCTTTTTTTTTTTTTCTCCAAATTATTCATTGTCCTGTGTCTGTACCTCTAGCTGTTCTCTTTTTGTATTTTCCTGGTTCTAAACCAGTTTACTCTGTGGTTCTATAATAAGTTTTGATATAATCTTGGCTTCTTAAAAACTGTGTATCCTTAAAATATATGTTCTGCAAGAATTAAAACTGAGTCCATGAAAATATCATAGGAAGACATTAAAACTTTTTAAAAGGAAACTCAGAACTGATGGGAACGCACTTATAGGTGATGGCCAAAAATTTTAGGTGAAGTTGAGCTAATTTGAGATCTGCAAGAACCACATACAACACTTAACTCCCCCTCCCTGTCGCCCCCCCCCAAAAGACACCAAGACAAACCTAGCTTTTTAAAAAATATTTTAAGAAAGAGAATGAACTGTGGAATTTATTGGCAGCCAAGGAATGTGTCCAAGACACATGCTGAGGTTTTGAATAAAAAGTGACTTTTGTAATTTGAATTGGGTCCCGCTTAGTTCTTGAATTGTTATGAAAAATCCTCTATCTGTTTGTATATTTGCAAACCCTTTGTATTATAACTGTTGATATTCCCTTTTTAAAAAAAAAATACCCATTGAAATCAGCATGACAAAATAACACTGTTGGCACTTATAGATAATGTGATTGATTCAGTATCTTAGAGTTTACAGTTTGTGTTTTAAAAAAAACTGAAGGTTTTTTTTTTAAAGTGCAACATTTCTGTATACTGTAAAAGTTATAATAACTGAACTGTTTGGTCGAGTCTTTGTGTGTTATATTCCAAGGAAAATTTGAAAGTATTCAGAAATTAAAATATTATTTGATATCTGAAACCTGTTTGGCTGTCCCCACTCACTGACTTGCCATGGACAAGAGCCCCCCTCTAAGAGCTGTCCCCAGTGGGGCTGCAGGGCACACTTGTTTACGATCCCCAGTTTGTTCCAAAGTGGACCAGTGTTATTGCCTGCTTAATTTGGGAATGTTGGGGGGGAGGGGAAGCTGAAGTTAATGGTTTATCTATGGTTTTAGGAAGTGCCATCCTGATTTGGTAAACCACCCCCCTTCCCCTAATCCTCTTTTTAATTAAAAATGGATTTTCCAGGAAAAAAAAATAAAGGCCCTTATATTTGTCACACTTAAGTGCCTGCTTAGGGAAGAGAAGGTATTGTGCAAAGTCTTAGAAATCTGGAGATCAGTATCTATTTTATGATCAGGAAAAAAAAATAGTGTTTTGTACATTTCTGACGCAGGAGACTGTGCTAGGAGTTTTTCCTGAAGTAGGTGTGATTTTAAAATATATATATATATTCTGTGGTTCTTACCTAGCGTAGCTGTTGAGAGGATTTTGAATGCTGTGCTGAGGGGTCTGCTTTTACTGTCTGTGTGACAACTGCCTGTCCCCTCCCCGCTTCCGTGAGGGCCTGACACAGGGCCACTGGCGTTCTGTGCCTGAAAACTCATGGACATCCTGACATTTCAGACTGTGTGGACGCACTGCTCATGGGACCCTTGGTCCTGAGGAGCCAAATTAAGAAAAAGGAGAGAGAGGGAGAGAGAGGAGGAAGGAAGGAAACTTGACTGACAGGGTGTGCTGAGTGGAAGTAGGGGCTATTTTGTCTGGGAGACTCTTCCCTCCTCCCCAACCCACCCCCCTTTCCCGGTGTGGAGAAAGCTCAGCTCCTGGGAGCTTGCAATTTTGTTCTTGTTGAGGCTCTGTCTCCAGCACCCCACCCCCCATTTCCCTGTGTTGTGGTTTAATTTAAAAACGGGGTGGGGAGGGGAGGAGAAAGAAAAGGGGTCATTTTGCAAAGTCTATTAAACTTGGCGACTCAGGTGCCAGGCGGTGCATGTAGAGCAGGACTCTGGTGTGATGTGAGCATCTGGGCAGGTCCCCATCGCACCCTCCGCTTCCTTGGGTAGCTCCGCACGCACATACATGACTCTAAGCATGTTCTTGGGCAGAAGAGCCCTGACCTTTTGGGTCGAGGTTCTGTGGGTCCTTGTCTCCTGGGTGTCTCCTGTCTCCTCTCGCACCAAGTGCTGTCCATGCAGAACGTGTGAAGTTGGTCCAGTTAAAGTCACACACAGGCCCGGCTCCTGCCTTGTTTTGTGTTAGCTTCTTGTAAACAGCCATTTGTTGTAAATTATTATTGGCATTAAATGATAATTGATGATTTTTCCAAGCCAAAGACGGTGCCTGTTTTATTCTGCTTCCAGCATGGGTCCTAGGCGCCGGGGTTGTGTCCTCTCTCGGTCTCTTTGAGTTGCAGCAGACGGGGGGTGTCTGCGAGGCAGCCCAACAGTTCCCCACATTTCTCAAACGGTTAAAACAAAACCTCTTGTCTGTGTTAAGAGTGGCCCGGAGGAGGATCTGTTTAGATTCTTGAGCTTGGTTTAAGTTTATTGCATTTAAAGAAAGTTTTTCTTTTCACGCTGAGTTAGAACAAAAGATCTTTTGCTGCGACTGAATCGGACAAAAGGCGAGGGCTGGAACCGAGCGGGCGCGTTCTGTGTGAAATTGACGAGATCTTTAAAAAAGCTGCTAAACATGGCGACTCTTTCCCTTTAAGTGTCTCTTTTTCCTTGCTGCTTTTTTTTTTTTTTCTTCCGATCTGAGCTCGCTTTATTTCTTCTCTCCCAGCCCCGCTCCCCCTCCTCCTCTCGGCGCTCGGGGGTGTGAGCGAACCCAGTTAGACGCGAAAGGCAACAATAGTCCGAGGAGAGAGGGGTGGGGGGGTGAGGCAGGGGGGCGATCGCTGCTTCTGGCCACTTTCAAACAAACCTGGGGGCACACGGCGCTGGAGGGGGGGTGCTCCTGGCCCGATCGCAGGGCGCGCGCTCGCCCAGCCTCGGCCTTGCACCCTGGGCTGTCCCCGCGCCGCCAGGGGCCGGGCTCCGAGTTAGCGGGCGGCGTCCGGGGCCGGTTCCGCGGAGGAGCATCCGGCGGCCGCGGGGACGGGGGCCCGGAGTTGGCAGCCGCGGCGGAAAGTGCGGGGGGCCCCCGCCCCCGCCCCCACTTACGCGCGGCGGTGGCGGCGGGATCCCGCCCGCGCCCCCGGGAGGTCCGGGCTGCGGGCGCGCGGAGCTGCTCGCCGGGCTGTGCACCCCGCGCGGCGGCGGCGGGCGGACGGGGCGGGGTGGGGGCCGGGGGGCGGGCGGGGAGCCCGAGCGTGTGAAACTGCCTCGAAGCTGCTCTGCTCGGTCCTGCGAGCTGAGCCAACATGGCGTCTCCCACTGCTCCGCGCGCCCGGCTGCCGGGCACGGCAGGGCCGGGTAATAGGAAACACATTGATTCCCAAAAAGAAAAAAAAAGAAAAAAAAGGAGGGGAGGGGGGCGGCCAAAGGCCATTCCATCTGCAGGCAGAAAACCCTCCGCTACACTCTGCCCGGCCAGGCGGTGCGGTGGGTGCGCGATGATCTGTAATTAAAGCAGCAGGATTCGGGGGGCGAAGGGGGGTCCCCTCTCTCTGCCCCCCCCCCCCAGCAATCAGGAGAGTTGATTTCACGTCTCCCCTCCCTTCGAGCATCCATGTCGGGGAAGCCAAAGTCTGGATCCTCCGCCGATCTCCCATGTTTTAATGGTCGGGGGGAAGGGAGGGCAGGCGCACCGGTAGGTTGTTTGGCTCATTAGGCGCGTGCGGGCCGCGCTGCGGGGAGGGGGTCGCGCCGCGGACGCCGCTGGACGCGGGCAGAGCTGGCTGCGGGCAGGGCCGAGTTCTAGGTAAGGCGGATTTCGGGGCGACGGGGGGGGCGCGCCGGGGCCGAGGGGCCGGGGGTCGCAGGCCCTACAAACGTGTGGACCCGCGAGGCCGGCCGTGGGACCAGCCAGCCTTCCCGGGAGAGGGTCTGCCCAGGCCCTGGGCCCGGGCCGAGCTCGCACCCCAAGGGCCAAACAGCCCCCCGCCGTCCAGCCCCAGCCCCGACCCCTCGGCCGCCGGGGAGGGGAGGGAGGTGGGGACCGTCCGAATGCTGGGCCTCGTCCAGATGTATTGAAGTTGGGTTTCTCCAAACGCGCCTCAGATGATTTTTTCCCATTTTCTCAGATTTCAAAGGCTCCCTGCCGCGCGGCTGCCTAATTAATGGTGAAATTCAGCTAAATCTAATTATGCAGTAATTTTAAAGCAGTTAGTCCTGGGCGTTGGTTGGTAATAGGACCCCCGTTTTTTGAAAGTTTGCTTACTGTGTTGGTTTAGGGGAAAGCCATGTTCCGTGGGGCAGAGGGAGAGAGACTGGGGAATCGTTTGGCTGCGGGAACCCCAGGGCTGGGAACTGTCCCCTCTCGCCTCCAACTCCATCCCTCTTCTATGCCCCCCACTTTTTTCCTCTCTCTCTCCCCCAAGCTCAGGCTGCAAAGCTGAGCCAGGTACTTCATCAGCCAGGAGACCCGGTTTCAGAGCCAAAGGGCAAAGGACGAATTGCCCATCAGGACACAAAGGGGTCTTGGGGTCTGCCCCCCCATATCTGTAGGTGTCCCCAAACAGGGAAGGGGCCCTCGTGTCTCCTAGAGAACAGATTTCCACGCGTCACCCCCGTTGTCATTAAGGCAAAAAGCTAACTCTCGGAGTTACAAACCTTACCGTCCTTCTGGTAACACACTTGCAATAAGTTAGCGTCCTAGTCAAAGTGAATTGTCAAACTGCCTCATTTAATATGGCATCTGTGTCGTTAAAACTTTTATTTTTTTCCCCCCTGGAGTCTTGCAGGTCGGACATGGGGGCCAGTGCCCAGGTGTGGCTATTGGGCCTCTGGGGGCGGTAGGTGGGGTCAGGGGTGTGGGAGATGGGCTGCCTGGCTTCAGCCTGTGACTCTTGGTCTGGGGCGAGACACCCCTGAGGCACAGAGGGCCTGGGTGTGGGGGTGCTCTGTCATCCCCCTGCCCCCCAAGCGGCCCCCTGAAAATGACGTTCCTTGAGAGAGTCATGCTTGTGATTAGCTAAGAAAACACATCTGCTTTCGGAGTGGGGCCTTCGCTAATTAGACGAACAAAGGGCCGTTTGCGTATTTTACCTTTGGCTGGGGGGGGTCTGGGGGGGAGAGTGTGTTATTTCAGGGGTGTCGCGGGGCCCTCCTCTTTGCAATCGCAGCCACGACGTTAATTTTATTGGGATTACTGATGGGAAATGAGGTGGCGCAGGCTTCCGGGAGGAAAAACTTGATCATTACCCCCTTTGGAACTATATTTTTCCACCCTGCCTCCCGCTGAAGGGGAGGGGGGGCGGGCTGCGCAGCGAGCCGGGAGCCCCTGAATCAGGCCGGAGGCCCGCTGATGTCGGGTGACAGAGCGTGCGTGGAGGCTGAGCCCTCTAATTTGCGCTTCTGTTCGTTTATTAGGCCTGGACAACGAACTAATGAGCTTTGGCCTCGCACCGTGTCACTTGTATTTATTTTCTTAGGGTAGCTTGGAGGGAGCGGAGAGGCAGGGAGGGGGCCAGGCGTCCTGGCCACGACTGTCTGGTGGCCCCGGGTCCTTGGCTGCATCCCGGGGGGATGGAGGGGGGAGCGATGGCGGGCAGAGAACTGACCGATCGCAGGCCGCTGGGCCTTGAAGCGAGGACCTGGGGTGGTGAGGACGGCCCTGGGCCCTTCTCAGGCTCAGACGCGCCTGCAGGCCCAGCTCCATGAGCTTGAGGTCGAGGGGCACTGGGCAAGCCCAACGAAGATCTTCAAGGCACAAGATGGCCAGAGGGGCCTGGGTGGCAGGTCCCCCCCCTGGCGCCGGGCTGAGGAGGGACCCAGAAGCAGAGCATGGCAGGCCAAGGAGCCCTTGGAGCGTGCACGCGAGGCCGTTCCCCCCGTGGCCAGGGCGTCTGTGTGCTTTGTGCAGAGGGAGCGCTGGTGGGTGAGCAGAAAGGCTGCTGTAGGAAAGCTCCCGGGGGTCCTTCCGTCTCCGGTTTGGCTGAGCCTCAGGGGCGCAGGTGGAAAGGCCTGGAATCAAAGCAGGAGTGAGGACAGAAAGGGTCATCGGAGGCAGCGCCACCATCCCTGGCGCCCTGGCGTAGAGCACAGGATCCCCCCCCCTCCCCGCGTGGAGAGGGGCAGGGGTGCCAGGGAAGGGGACGCCCAGGGCACTGCGGGGTTTGCGGGGGACTTGGCTCAGCGGCCCTCCACTTCCCACGGCTCTCGCCTGGCTAATACCGCCCAGGCTCCGCGCCCCGCCTGCCCTGCCCGCCCCGTAGCTCTCCGCCGCTCCCGGCTGCACCCCTCCGCCCCCCACCCCCTCCCCACCTCTTCCTTCCTTCCTGCAAATGGGTGTTAACGCGGGTCTTTATGTTCTGTCTATAACTAGGATGTAATCACGCGCCCCATGCCTCTCTCTAAAAGCATTTAATAAATGTCTATTAAAGCGCTACAAATGTAAGATGAATTTAGTGGCTCTGCTGCCTCCCTGAATCCAAACGGTAATGATGGATTTATCAACGGGGGATTCGCCTGCCGCACAGCGAGGGAGGTTTACTCAGCAAATACGGCCTGGAGGACCCACCCAAATACAATCACGGGGTCCCCTGCGGGCGTGCCACCTCACCCCTTCCCCACCGGCCTGGGTCTGGGCCGGGCTGGGGGGCCACAGCACTGCCCCTCTCTGGCCTCTGGCCTCCTCCTCTGTGCCTTGAGGTCTCCACTCTTGGAGGGCTGGAGGGGGGCCTGCCCAGTAGGCTTGGGGGTGGGGAGCGGCTGGTGGCCGCGCCAAAGGCTTTGCCAGGAGCCGTCAATGGCTGCCCTCCTGCCCCTCTTGGTTTTGAAGGAGTAGCGATGATTCCCGCTTGGCGTCTGCCAGGGGGCTCTTGAGGGCCATGGCTTTCCCCAAATCTTGGGGCGTGGGATCCCCGCTGGGCCTGGGGACCAGCCTAGCCCTGAGCACCATTTCAAGGGAGGCGGCTGGAGGGCAGAGGCACCCGACCCTCTAAGGGGCTGAGTGTGCCCAGAGTGGGTGCCCGCCCTCCTGGGGTCCATGGACCCCGCTAAGTTAAAGCAGGGGCGGCTGTTGTCCAAGGTTGGGGTGTAGCCTGGAGGTGGGGGCCAAACTTCCAAGCCTCTAACCCTAAACCCATCTGGCTTCCGCCCCAGCAGAGCGCACCGGCCGCTCTGAAGTTTGCGCGTGGCTGCGGGGGTTTTTAAATCGGGGGTTTGGACTGCGATCGATGGATGGTGAGGGGCGCAGGCCCTGGCCCAGCGCCTCTCTCTT